GGAATGATCTGGCAGCTTCCATATGCTTTATGAGATTATGTGAAAGCTCTTGTCTCAGTAGCAGAAGCCTTGAGCTACCACGCTATTTTGCTTTCAGCATCCTCTATATCAGGTGTCCTGGGAGCCAGATGTCAAGAGCTGAATAGATGAGACGTTGCCATGAAACAGCTGACCACTGTCCCTGGGTAACACAATGTCTACCACAGTACAGAAGACCTTGGAAGTTATACTTGATGTTTTAACAGGTCAGGCTTGATTGTCCACCTGCTCATATAGATGTGTCAGATTTAGCAAGTCCATTCACAAAAAATCAGAGCCTCCCTCAGAAGTAGCATAAATAAAAAATCAGAAAATATTGGTGAACTGAGCTGAATTGGGCTTTCTCCACTGTTGAAATTGGCAATTTGAATATAAAGGACAAACAAGAACGAATTAAGAGTCTTTGCAGGGTTCTGAGAGGGATCTACACACGTGCCTGTCTCAGGCCCAGGCTGGAGAAGGCACCAATTGAAGTTTTGTACTTTTAACCTGCCATGGAACTGGATTAAGAGTCAGGAGACCTCAGTTTATGACCCAATCCTGCTGCATAACTTTAAATAATTCACTTACTCTCTCTGAGCCACACAGAGTTATGGTGAGGCTCAAATGAGAATATGTGTGTGAAATCCCTCTGTAAGTGGAAAACCTCTATAAAAGTAAGACACTGGTCCTATTATTATTCAAGTAATTAACATGCAACAGATGCGCCAAGGGAGGTAATTTCCCTTAGAAACTAGAGGTAGAAAAACATCAAATCCCCGTATATTCTGGTCAGTGTGAATCAAATTGCAATTTACGTCTACAGTGTAAACAACTAAGGAATATGCTACTGAAGTATCTTCCTATAATTTTAAAAACAAGCACAAATGTGACATGGTGCTCTGTGATACTAGAGATGAGCACAGGACTCAGAGTTGCTTTCACAAGGCCAAGTGAGGTAAGAACTGCAAAGTGCCCCTGGGAACGGCACCAAGATGGTCAGCAGTACCAGGGTGGTGGTAAGGATGGAAGCCAAGCAGGGTGGGATAGAGGGAAGGGAGTGGAAGCTACAGAAGGAGGCACAATGCCTTTAGCCAACTCCTTTAAAAAGTCGGCCATGAAGTGCGGAGGGGGAAGGTGCAACTGTAGATAGAGATGGAGTGATTAAAGGTGGGAGAACTGCAACTTTATTTAAAGTCTGAAAGAGCTGGAAGAGAAGGAAGAATGTGAAGATGCATGACAGAGGGCTTACAGGTGGAACAAGGCCCTGAGGAGCAGAAGCGAAGAGCCTCCCTGGGGGAGCGGCTTGCGGAACTGAACAGGAGGGAGGGAAGGGAGGATGGGCGTGCCGTCTGTACCAATGTGGGGCTGGTGTGGGCACCAAGGAAATTTTGCTTCTGTTTCCTTGCACAAATGAGAAGCAAGGACACCTCTTAGGAGGGAAGGAGGTGGCGGCTCAGGAGAGGAGACGATTTGGTTTTGCTGATGAAGTGCCCACTGACATCACTGTCATCCCGGTGCCCAGTTCCTACTTGTTCTTTATGACACGGACTCATTTATGCATTCACTCACTCAGTCAGTCAACGGCTGTGGAATGGACACCATGTCTGTAGGAAATGCGCTGGAAGGGCAAAGGTAAAAACCATGCTGGGTGTTGGGCTGGCACAGGATGACTGACTGTGCTGCAGAGAAAAGTCAGCTTTACTTGACCCAGTAGAGGACAGGCCCAATGACCATGGCCTCTGAAATTTGCACATTAACAAAGTGAGCCTATAGCTACATCCTGACAAAACTGATTATTAGTCATAAACACATTTCATGACCTATGGGATAGCAGTTGTCCTTTCTCTACCCTCACAGGACCCAAAACCCTCTCTTCAAGCATATGTTCTATTTGAGTTCCTGGCACAACTTCCTGTGGGCACCCCACCACCCTTTCTAGAACAATGGACTGTTAATTATCTCCCAATATCTATCTTCCTTTCCTCCATACTAAGTGAATTCAGCTAGGTCCATGGCTACTGCCGGCTAAAGAATACGTTTCTCAGTCCCCCTCATGATTTGGTAGGGCCATGACAGTCAGTTCTGACCAGGAGAACGTGAAGAGAGTGATGTAGGTCCTTTCCCGCTTAACAGGCTTTCCATTTTTCCCTTTTACAGGCTGGCACCAGGACAAAGTGACAGATCACTAATTTGGATGATGCAGGGAGGGAATGAAGCAATACCACAGAAAGAGCCTGGTCCTCCTTGTTACAGTCTTCACTTATTATTTAAGACTTTGAAACAGTTGAACCTCTATGTGGTATCAGCAGTGGCCTTAGCTGAGGGGAGCAGGAGAATGGCAGGGAGTCCACAGGGCATATCCATTTAGGATAATGGTGGTCATAAGTCTATCAAAATACAAGCTGAAAGTCTGAGCAGGAAGAGGAAGGAATTGCACTAGGTGTCTTCATACAAGTAATCTCATTTCATCCTCATGCCAACCTCATGGAATGTGTATTATTATCTTCAGTTTACAGATTGTGAAACTCCAAGAGGTAAGCTACAGTGGTCAAATGTGCAGCTACTGAGGTCTGTGTTTCTGTGCGGTGTTCAGCTCTGCTCTTTACCTCCCTGTGAGGCTTCTTGTTCCTGTGAGGGCCCCAGGCTGCAAGGAGCTCAGACACTTTCATCAGCAATGTGGCTTAGCAGGAGCAAGAACTCAGTCTTCCCTTCCAGACCACAACATCCTGGGGCCATGTGTCCATCACACACTGACGCCTGTGAGCCCCTGCATGTACAGTGTTGATAGGGCTGAGGGGAGGGGGGAAAGAACAGCAATGCCCCCAGGCCAAGAACCCTTTACAATGGAGCCAGGTGCTATAAATTTCTCTAAACGCATGGCCTTTCTCCACACATGCACATCTGGAATGCCGTATAACCCCTTCCCTCTCCAACCCCCTCTGCAATGATGACTTCCTGGAGCATTTTAATGACTCGCCATTATAAATAATATACTCTACCCTTTCTTGTAAAAAAAGAAAAAAAAGCTAGAGGTTTCTGCAAAACCAGCAAATTACTCCAAATCGTAATTTCATTGAAAACACTGGGAAAAAAAAATTCATACCCTGAGGTAGGAAAGGTTTGGGAGATTTATATCTTTCCTTGAACACACAGATTTATAACAGTGGATAATGTACATTCATTTCATCCATATTTATACCTGAATTGATGCAGAGTCTGGTATCCATTACTTTAATCTATGTAACTTGATCATCAGAAATCTGAACCATAATTTTAACACGTATTACAAAGAGTTTCTTTTGGGCTTGAAGGAAAATGACGGTAGAGAAGAAAAGCCATTAAGAGCCAGCTGCAGTCACTTACTTGTGGGGCCCCTCCCCACTTCCCATCCCTTACCTGCCTAGACACACATTCACTCCCACGTTGAGCCCTAGCACTAACTGTACCATGACTGGAGGGGAGAGAAGCCATACACAGGGCAATTCAGAGGGAATTCATGTAAATAAATCTCTGATATCATGGCCAACCCAGAGCTCATGTGGAGGCAGTGGTAATGGGCCAGTAGTCATCTCTAATCACTTAGGAAAAGTGAAAAAATGCAGGGTCTGATCAAAGCTTCCTTCTGACAGACAGTGGAAATTAAACCCAGATACTGGTTCTCAAACAGCATTGCTGGCACTCAACACATGGTTCCTGTCCAACTTCTGAGCACCAAACATTGGTCTGGCTTAAAATTCCAAATGCCTGTCCTTGCACAAAAGCCACATAGTAGATTTTTGAGAGATCTGGGCTCCAGGAATATATTGGGCAGAAGATGAGGCGCACAAGACCCTGGGACCTCACTTACAGCAGCTGTGTATCAGAGAACTTTCTTGGGTCATGATCGTGGGATTTCCTAAAATCATGTAAGCACCATGAGGGCAGATCTTTTTGTTTGTTTTGTTCACTGGTTTGATGAGGGCTGGCATTTAATAGGTGCTTGATAAATATTTGTTGAATGGAAGGCCTTCATTATAAACTATCCCAGAGCTATAAACTGCAGTGTGAAAAGATACTGTACAATAGCGAAGGATGAAACCCATGGGATTTTATAAAATTAGGAACATAATTTAGAAGAGAGTAATAAGCAATTAAATCCATTACTTTACATTCTTGTATCTTCCAAACTTTCTTCCATTTTTTATTACATTATGTCTTAATAATGTCTTGTATTTTAGAAATATTTCAAGATTTTAAAGCATGTGATCAATGTTCACAGCGATCCTGTGACATAATTATATGTGTAATGTATTATTCATATAATTATAATAATATGTTATATGTTACAGAATATAATTGTAACTAATACCATTCCCATTTCACAGATGAGGAAATTGGGAAGCAGAGTTTCCATAACCTGCCTGTGCTACTGGCAAGTGGCAGGCAGTACTAAACTTTGTGTATCACCATCTTTGGATTCCTGGTGCCTGTCCTTTCTCATACAGCGCACCACAGGGATGCATTCCTAGCAAGGGTCAAGGGCAGAGTGAGTAAGGAGGGCATTTTAGGAGTGGCTGATTTTAGAGCTGTTCTGGCCTGGTCTGAACCCAGGAAGAGATTGCCAACCTACAAATCACTAGGGCTGCTACATGCATTTCTTTAGTGCCTCCTGAGGATGGTTTTAGATATGACCGTGCCTCAAGGGAACCAACGCCAGGTGTCTGGTCCTTCAAGTTGGATAGGACAATAATTGGGCTTCCAATTTCACTGGTGAAAACTGACTTTTTAGAAGGAAATCTACCCCTAAAAAGAGGATTAATAGAGCTTTTGCTTTATTGATACTTTAATTTTTTACTCTAAGAATGTCTTTCAATATATGTGTGTGTGTGTATATATATATAACATGCTATATATGTGTGTATGTTTATAATTACCAATGTCTTTAAAAATTATAGCCAAAATAAATAATTGCTCTTTTAGTAGAAGAATGTTTCCAACTATAATTTCCCTTCAGACAACTGGCCTTCTTGAGAGAGCGTCGGGAATGGGGGGAGGAACCCTAAGTTTTCACATACCACAATGCAGGCACTGTTAGGGGTGTGCTGCAGAAGCTCGTAGTAGTCATCCCTGCCGTACCCTGGTCATCACTGCTCTTTGTAGAAAGCAACGCGAAGGGTCAGCGAAGTGTCTTGACCGAGGTTCCACATACAGTGAGTGAATATGAATGTACTGGGATTTGAGCCCAGGAGGGAATAGCTTCACAGCTCATGCCCCATCCAGTCCATCTTTACCATTGACACATCTCTACCAGCTGCATCTGGAACCAGGAGACTGAATCCTGCAACAACTTAAAAAGAGAAATTTTATTTTTTGGATTGTTTCCTTATAAAGTTTTCTCTTTTGTCCCCAGCCAGATGTGAGCTTTCCCTCCTTTGAACCCCAAAGTATTACTTTGTTTCACATTTATGGAAACCTGCATGCTTCATACTTGACTCGGGTGCTCTGTGAAATAGTCCCGGCAGATACTGCCATCACGCTATTCCCACTGAACAGGTAAAACAGCGCAAAGAAAGACCAGCGACTCAGCCAATATCACGCCCCTGAGACTGAACTCATGCACCCCCTTGCTCTCAGCCCAAGCTGAGATATTGGGCTTGATATTTTAATTTTTTACTCTAAGATATTAAAATATCTCAGCCCAAGCCCTTGTCTTGGCCAAGACATTTGATAGCGCCTGGCTTGAAGAAACATACAACTTTCCACTTAACTGAAATTGAAAGGAAGACAGAATGTGTTACATTTCTCCCAGTCATTTGTATGTGACTCTTATGGGTTAGTGAAACAGCAGGGTCTTGTTGTTCATTTGCTGTGTACCCAGAACTGAGCTGGGGAATTAGAGGACAGAACCATTTCTGTGAGCCAAGTTCCTGCCCTCAGGGAATTAACAACGGCTGGGACGGGTAACTGGAAACACCTGAGTTACTCGGGCACAGGCTGGCCTGTTGCACGCTTCCAGGTCCCTGAAGCCGACCATGTTGGCTCAGTGTCTGGTATTCGACAGGCAGGAGCCACTGCATACAGCTGTGTCCACCTCTGCCACACCTGGTGGGCACCTGCACGGGGATGGACATCTGGCCCAGCCAAAGTCCTCAACCTCTTCACTGATTTCATGCCTAGCAACTCACTCTCTTTACTGAATTTTCACTTTATTCTTCCATTCCATTCATTGGATTTGGACTTGACCCATAGCACTATAAAAATGCCATTTATTAAGTCATGATTACAGGTCAGGAATTGTGCTGGATACTTTATACTTGCTCTCTCTAGTCCCCACAATAATTGGAAAGGCGAGAACTGTGGTCCCTATTTTAAGAACATGGAGATGGAGGCTCAAGGCAAGGTGAAGGACATTGCCTGAGGTCACAGCAGGCAATACGAGCCTGAAAGGTGATGGGGAAGTGCAGACAAAGCTCAAATAAGGGGAAGGACTGCTTAAGCATCAATATTTTTAAAAAAACCTTTCATAAAACATTCTTGTTTTTCCCAACATGTCAGTGATCTGACATAAATTTAAGGATGGCTTCCACTTGAGAATATACTTTGAGACTCATGAGCCCAGAAACACATAAAATAGGAAAATAAGCACATTTTTTTGATGTTGCCAGAGAAGGATTTTTCAAAGCCCTGTAACAGCTCTCAACTACTTATACCAAAATAACTTTCATTAAAAGTATTTACTATGTGCTAGACTCTTTACATGTAAAACCTCACTTACAAATAACATCCCATTTTATAGAAGGGTTGTGTATGTGTGTGTGTATGTGTATACATATACAAACATATATATTTTATAGGTACAAATATAAATGTACATGAACATTTAATGTGTAGGTGAAATAAAATTCTGAGCTCAATCTTAAAATGATAGAAATGGGATTTGAACCCAGCTTTCCTGAGTCTAAACACTGTTGGGATTCTATCCACTAAATTATTGCTTCTCAACTTTGCTCACACATTAAAATCACCTGAGAGTTTATAAAATTCTGATTTTGAGGGTCAGAGATTCTGACATGAATGGTGTGGGGTATGGCTCAGCATGAAGAATTTAAAAAACTCTCCAGATGATTCTGATTTACTCCAAATTTGCGAGCCCCCTCAGCCTTCACTCCATGTATCAGTTTCTTATTGCTGCTGTGACAAATCACCACAAATGCAGGGCTCAAAATAAGACACACGTATGATGTCAGTTTCTGTAGTGCAGAAGTCCAACATGGATCACACTTGGCTAAAATCAAGGCATTGTCAGGGCTGCGTGCCTTTCCAGAGGTTCTAAGGAAGATCCTGTTTCTTGCTTTTTCCAGCTTCTAGAGGCTGCCCACAGTCCTTGGCTAGTGGCTCTATTCTTCCATCTTTAATGCCAGCCATGGCAGGTCAGGTGCTTCTCACAGAGCACCACTCTGACCAATTCTGCCTCCCTTTCCCCACTTAAGGACCCTTGTGTTTACACTGCCCACCCCCACCAAGGTTTTCCAGGATAATCTCACTTTAAAGTCACATGATTGGCAACCTTAAGTCCATCTGCTACCTAATTCCCCTTGGCCATGTAAGGTAACACAGTCACAGGTCCTGGAGATTAGAAGACAGACCTCTTAGGGGGCATAATTCTGCCTACTACAATGGACTAGCAATTCTCAGTGAAAAAAAAATCAGGGTTTCCCTTCCATGGCACCTGCTCACTGTGGGGAAAGCTAATGACCAGAGTGTTCTTTAACAGAGGAGTCAAGTCAAAGCTGCTGGGTATATGAAAACATCTCCCTTCTGTTTCCCTCTCTTTTCTTTCCCACTAGTAAGATGAGCAGTGAAAGTCTGTCATTCTCTGGGCTTCCCACAGCTGCTGTCACACCACTTGAAAACAGAGCCCAGGTGACCAGCGTTCAATCCGTGCTGGGACAAGGCAATATGTGAGCTGCCATATGCTCTGGTGGGTCCCGCTGACGCTGAGCAGGTGTATGGCATCCGGGCCACGTGGAGGGTGGCAGATTCACAGAAGGGAGGAACCATTTTCAATTTACCGGAGGAAGACCTAGGAATTAACAGAGGCCTGGGTCTATTTACCTCTGTCATGCTTCCCCATCATTTCTTAAGAAACAGAGGATGGTTCTGGTTTTCATTCTGACAATCCAAGGAAATGCTTTGAACATTATGCTCATGCTGACTTAAAAATTATTCTCTGAGTTCTCCAACACTCAGAATTCATCAATTATCAAGGTGCAGAAGCCTCCAAATATTTATAATGACAGCACTATCATTATGTTACATTATTTTGACAAGAAGGGGAGGAGAGCAGTTTAACCTCAGTCAAGGTGTGTGTGTCTGCATGTGTGTGTTTTCTGTGTATCAACTGAGGATTTCTATAACACAGTTGTGATGTACAGTCGTGTCTCAAGAATTTCTTATAGAAACTATTGGCTTATATACCTGAGCATCTTTATTTTTAAATATATTTATATCTACCAATGACTTTTCTAATTAAATGTATCACCTCTGATGGAGGATGAGGGGTAGAGAAGAAAAAGCAAAAGTTAAAAAATGGTATTCTATGAACAACCAAAGTTGAGTCATTGACACTAGCTCCAAAGAATTCATTTTAGTCAGTGGTACTGCCTCTGTTCCCTTAAAAAAATGAATGATTGGCACAAAAAAATATGCTATCAACTTTTACCAAAAAATTTGTTTAGGTCATTTCCATAAAATGGCCTATGCGTCATATGTCAAGCTGGTGCATTCTCTGTGTGACTGACTATGCAGACTGAATTGACATCTAAGTTCTAATTACTTGCACCCTCCTCAGTCTGTTACTGTCTGACATGGGACTCTCCCAGAGGAGTGTCAGAAAGGACATTTTATGGGCTGATGGGAAGCAGGGGAAAAAGATCCACTGGGCTTTTTAATGCAGATGATGCACAGTGCAGAGAAGAGACAAAGGGGATCGAGGACCCCGACTGGAAGGTTCAAGTGTGTTTGTGTTGCATCTGTTATTCCTCTAGCTTTTTCATTAATGCTTCGTAAAGGCAAGCAGAATCACAGCTGGTGAAAAGGTATCTGTTTGACAGGCCCAAGGCCTAAATCTCCTCTCCCTTCACAGGGCCAAATGTTCATAAGGGCCTTGGAACTGTCCACCTCCAATTTCAGGTCAAAACACAGTGTGAAGCGCTCCTGTGGCCAGGGAATTAGCATGACCTTGGTCAATCAGATGACCTTGGGCTTGCATCACAGCACTCCATTTTCTCACTGTGGGACCACTGGAACATTAGGGAAACTAAAGGTTAATGTCCTCATCTGAAATAAAATGGAGGCTTAATAATATGGATTCTAGTGCTATAGTGAGATGTTTCAGTTAGACTTTAGTATGTATTAAGTTTCTTCCTCCACATAATCTACACTGTATGTGGATGAGGAAAAGAAAAAAAGTGGTAGCTGGTTTTATGCTTCTGATGATTGAAGAGAAGAGAGTACATGTGCGAAAAAGACCTCCACCAGGACTTTCAAATGAATCAGGTCTTATTTCCAGTGTATTTTTTGTAATGGCTTAAAGAGCACGGATCTAGAGCATGACTGCAGGGATTGGAATTCGAATGCTACCACTTACTACCTGTGCAATCTCTGCCTCATGTTCATGGTCCATCATATGGAGATAATACTAATTACTTCATAAGGTTGTTATGAAGATTAGTTGGATTCCTACATGTGAAGCACTTTTAGAATAGTGCTTGTTATTATTTGCAGACATATCTAAATATTATTGTCCTTCCTCCCCTTGCACAGCTCCATACTTAGGCAATTCATTCATTCCCACTGGGAATGGGTTGTTTCAGAAAGGAAATAAAAGAAGAGTCTCTTTTCGGTCTTTGAATTTCAAATGCCTGACTTGTAGGGCAACAGAAATGACTCAGAGAAGAGTAAAAAGTATGACAGAGGCTTTCTGCTTCCGAGACTAGACTGGTGTGCTTGAGGTGGGACAGAGAAGACTGTGGAGGGATGGGCAGGTGTAGCAAGCAAAAGCCAGCACCTGGAAAACTGCTCTGTGTAAAGCTGAGGGCTAGTGGTGGAAGGGATGATCTGAACCCCCAAAAATGTATGGGATACAAGAGCAGAAGAGACTTGTGCTTCATTTCCAGGCTGTGCTGTACCCAGGTCTGGGAGGACCTCACAAAAATTTTCTGTACTACAGCCTGGTGTAGACACAATGATTTCTCTGTATCTGAGAAGGAGACTGAATTATAAACCAGAAACAGGCAGACTTGAAGGAGCCGAAGATTGGAAAAAGGGATGACTCCTAGTGATCTA